ACACATTCAAAAGCTAGCAGAAGGCAAGACATAACTAAGATCAGAACCGAAGGAGATAGCAACACCAAAAACCCTTCAAAAAATCAATGAATCCAGGAGCTGGTTTTTTTGAAAAGATCAACAAAATTGATAGACTGCTAGCAACACCAATAAAGAATCAAATAGATGCAATAAAAAATGATAATGGAGATATCACCACCGACCCCACAGAAATACAAACTACCATCAGAGAACACTATAAACACCTCTACTCAAATAAACTAGAAAATCTAGAAGAAATGGATAAATTCCTGGACACATACACCCTCCCAAGACTAAACCAGGAAGAAGTTGAATTCCTGAATAGACCAATAACAGGCTCTGAAATTGAGGCAATAATTAATAGTCTACCAACCAAAAAAAGTCCAGGACCAGACAGATTCACAGCCGAATTCTACCAGAGGTACAAGGAGGAGCTGGTACCATTCCTTCTGAAACTATTCCAATCAATAGAAAAAGAGGGAATCCTCCCTAACTCATTTTTGAAGCCAGCATCATCCTGATACCAAACTCTGGCAGAGACCCAACAAAAAAAGAGAATTTTAGACCAACATGCCTGATGAACATCAATGCAAAAATCCTCAATAAAATACTGGTAAACTGAATCCAGCAGCACATCAAAAAGCTTATCCACCATGATCAGTGGGCTTCATCCCTGGGATGCAAGGCTGGTTGAACATACAAATCAATAAACGTAATCCATCACATAAACAGAACCAAAGACAAAAACCACATGATTATCTCAATAGATGCAGAAAAGGCCTTTGACAAAATTCAACAGCTCTTCATGCTAAAAACTCTCAATAAACTAGGTATTGATGGAACGTATCTCAAAATAATACGAGCTGTTTATGACAAACCCACAGCCAATATCATACTGAATGGGTAAAAGCTGGAAACATTACCCTTGAAAACTGGCACAAGACAGGGATGCCCTCTCTCACCACTCCTATTCAACATAGTGTTGGAAGTTCTGGCCAGGGCAATCAGGCAGGAGAAAGAAATAAAGGGTAATCAATTAGGAAAAGAGGAAGTCAAATTGTCCCTGTTTGCAGATGACATGATTGCATATTTAGAAAACCCCATTGTCTCAGCCCAAAATCTCCTTAAGCTGATAAGCAACTTCAGCAAAGTCTCAGGATACAAAATGAATGTGCAAAAATCACAAGCATTCTTATACACCAATAACAGACAAACAGAGAGCCAAATCATGAGTGAACTCCCATTCACAATTGCTTCAAAGAGAATAAAATACCCAGGAATCCAACTTACAAGGACCTCTTCAAGGAGAACTACAAACCACTGCTCAACGAAATAAAAGAGGACACAAACAAATGGAAGAGTATTCCATGCTCATGGATAGGAAGAATTCATATCGTGAAAATGGCTGCACTGCCCAAGGTAATTTATAGATTCAATGCCATCCTCATCAAGCTACCAATAACTTTCTTCACAGAACTGGAAAAAACTACTTTAAAGCTCATATGGAACCAAAAAAGAGCCTGTATTGCGAAGATAATCCTAAGAAAAAGAACAAAGCTGGAGGCATCACACTACCTCACTTCAAACTATACTACAAGGCTACAGTAACCAAAACAGCATGGTACTGGTACCAAAACAGAGATATAGACCAATGGAAGAGAACAGACCCTCAGAAATAACACCACACACCTACAACCATCTGACCTTTGACAAACCTGACAAAAACAAGCAATGGGGAAAGGATTCCCTATTTAATAAATGGTGCTGGGAAAACTGGGTAGCCACATGTAGGAAGCTGAAACTGGATCCCTTCCTTACACCTTATACAAAAATTAATTCAAGATGGATTAAAGACTTAAATGTTAGACCTAAAACCATAAAATCCCTAGAAGAAAACCTAGGCAATACCAATCAGGACACAGGCATGGGCAAGGACTTCATGACTAGAACACCAAAAGCAATGGCAACAAAGCCAAAATTGACAAATGGGATCTAATTCAACTAAAGAGCTTCTGCACAGCAAAAGAAACTCTCATCAGAGTGAACAGGCAACTTACAGAATGGCAGAAAATTGTTACAATCTGCCCATCTGACAAAGGGCTAGTATCCAGATTCTACAAAGAACTTAAACAAATTTACAAGAAAAAATCAAACGACGCCATCAAAATGTGGGCAAAGGATATGAACAGACACTTCTCAAAACAAGATATTTATGCAGCCAACAGACATGAAAAAATGCTCATCATCACTGGCCATCAGAGAAATGCAAATCAAAACCACAATAACATACCATCTCACACCAGTTAGAATGGCGATCATTAAAAAGTCAGGAAACAACAGGTGCTGGAGAGGATGTGGGGAAATAGGAACACTTTTACACTGTCCGTGGGACTGTAAACTAGCTCAACCGTTGTGGAAGACAGTGTGGCGATTCCTCAAGGATCTAGAACTAGAAATACCATTTGACCCAGCCATCCCATTACTGGGTATATACCCAAAGGATTATAAATCATGCTGCTATAAAGACGAATGCACAACTATTCACAACAGCAAAGACTTGGAATCAACCCAAATGTCCCTCAATGATAGACTGGATTAAGAAAATGTGGCACATATACACCATGGAATACTATGCAGCCATAAAAAAGGATGAGTTCATGTCCTTTGTAGGGATATGGATGAAGCTGGAAACCATCATTCTGAGCAAACTATCGCAAGGACAGAAAACCAAATACCGCATGTTCTCACTCATAGGTGGGAACTGAACAATGAGAACACTTGGACATAGGGTGGGGAACATCACACACTGGGGCCTGTCGTGGGGAGAGGGAGGGGAGAGGGAGGAGGGGGGAGGGATAGCATTAGGAGATGCTATCTAATGTAAATGATGAGTTAATGGGTGCAGCACACCAACATGGCACATGTATACATATGTAACAAACCTGCACGTTGTGCACACGTACTCTAGAACTTAAAGTATAATAATAATAATAATAAAACAAAAACAAAAACAAAACCCAAGCCCTTTCCCATCTAGGCTTTTAAAGATTCTGTTTCCTCAGTCTGGAGTGCTCATTCCTTAACTCTTAACACTGACTTCAGCTCGGAGATTACTTCCTTGGAGAAGGTTTCCCAAACCCTTGATCTGAAGTAAACCCCCCTTTCCAGCTAGTCTGTTCCATTATCTTGTTTATTTACTTCATAGTACTCAACTATTTTTCTTTTTTCTTGAGATGGAGTTTTGCTCCGTCACCCAGGCTGGAGTGCAGCGGCACGATCTTGGTTCACTGCAACCTCCGCCTCCCAGGTTCAAGCAATTCTTGTGCCTCAGTCTCCCGAGTAGCTTGGATTACAGGTGCATGCCACCATGCCCGGTTAATTTTTGTATTTTCAGTAGAGATGGGGTTTCACCATGTTGGCCAGGCTGGTCTTGAACTCCCGACCTCAGGTGATCTGCCTGCCTTGGCTTCCCAAAGTGCTAGGATTATAGGCGTGAGTCGACACAGCCAGCCAAGTTTTTTTTTTTTTTTTTTTTTAACTGACTTTGTAAGCCAAGGTTGGTGGCAACATTAATTAGAATTACGATAAATACATGTATTTATCTGTTTTATGTATATTGTATGTCTTTCCCCACTTGAGTGAAAGTACTATGAAACCCTAGCCATTTTTGTTTGGGCCCCTGCTGAAACTCCAGTGGTTAGTACAACGTCTGAAGCATGGCAGGTACCAAGCAACATTGACTGAATGATTGAACAAATTATTTTTAGGAGAAATCAACTTCTGTGGTGCCTTCTCCAGTATCCCTAAGCAATTATTTTTTAGGCTCATATAGAATTTTTTGCATTTAACTCAACTTTTATCCACTCAGAGATTGTTAGGTACCTGACAGGTGCTAGGGTTCTGAGAAGAAGAGAACCCAGGCCCTTTCCTCACATGCCTCAGCACCCTGCCCTACACTTGTGTTCGTGCCTCCCCTTAGGACACTGCAGATATGTTCTTGAAGAAGATGGGCTGATTTTATTCATCATTGCATCTCAGCCCCTAGGACAGATGGTACTGCTCAGTAGACATTTGTATGAAAGAGGACAGAAAAGAACTTTGTAGCCTCAGATTTTTACAGAATGTGCAAAGAAGAAGCAGGGTAAATGCAAATCTATGATTTAATTTTGCCCCTTCAGTCTGATAATGTTTGAGAAGACATTATGTTGCACCTGTTAAACATGTGGAAAAGGACAAAAACACAGATCCAGTACTACTCTGTGCAGGTGATGGGATACTAAAAGAGGATAGAAATAAAGCAAAACTAATTTGCTTTTTTTTTTTTTTTGCAGAAGCAGTAGCCATGAAAAGAAGTTACCAGACAGTGGAGTTAACTCAAAATGAGAACAGTCCCCTGTCAATTGGAGCTACCCAGCAATACAAAGGGCTGCCTTGTCAGGGAACCTGTCCAAGCAGGAATGCTGACAATGGTCATGACCATGGAAGACCACAGGTTCTTCCTAAGGCCACAATTTTAAGATTATCTGCTTCTGAACAAATCCACATACAGTGCATCCACTCAGCTTTTTTTACTTAAAACAGTTCAAAAAATGAATGCTTAGTAACCACCAAAAAACAGAACACTATTAGAGGATCTTAATTCAATCAACATTGCCACCAACATTGGCTTAGAAGGAGTTACTATACTTTAGCCAGTGGTAGAAAGGACTGATACTATGGGTAAGAAATCAGGCAGGGGAGGATGGCCAGGAGCCATGTGCATATCATCTCTCCCTCCTTCTTTAAAATTACCAGGAATAAAGGTTTTCCGGGACAAAATCAAGGTAAAGAAAGAGAAATTATGTGGATCAAGACAGTAATTCCTGAAAGCAGGCCAGGTACTGCGATGTCAACATTTGTCCTGCACATTATATCATTGAGATTACTCACAAATAATTGCATGAGTGGGTCTCTCATGTATGGAGAGGTTAGTACATTACCCGCATGGCTTCTTGAATGTGGTCCTGTCGAATCAGTTCTGCTGAGCAGTCCATATACCACTTCAAACAGCGGATGAGCTCCCTGGGAAAGAGAACAGTTCCAGAAACCCCACTTTAATTCAAAAGTAAAGCAGACTGAAATGTAGCCCTGAATTAGGCAAATAGTAAATAATATTCTGCTGATAAGCTATAAAGGAGTGGCAGATCCATTATAGCTTTGGAATATTCAGGTCACCTGAGAACAAACAACACCCTTTGTCCATAGGAGTTGCCACATTTTAAACAGCAATTAAAATAACTTTTCCCCACTATCTCTGACATATATTTCTTTTTGATTACAAGAAAGTTTCCACCCAAGTCTGGGCAACATGGCGAAACCTTATCTCTACAAAATAATACAAAAATTAGCCAGGCATGGTGGTGCATGCCTGTAGTCCCAGCTACTCAGGAGGCTGAATCAGGTGGATCAGTTGAGCCCAGGAGGTAAAGGCTGCAGTGAACCATGACTGTGCCACTGCACTCCAGCCTGGGCAACAGAATAAGATCTCATCTGAAAAAAAAAAGAAAATAGTTTTCCTAAAGACCTGGACTGGATGTGTATATTTTTATTTTGTCTTAAATTGCTAGGTTTTCAGAACATCTGACACCAGCTAGTAAATAGTAGACTCTGAATAAAAGTATGCAGTCCCAGGAGTCCCTATTCACAACCCCTGCTCTATCCCATCTATCTTATTTCCTTAGGACTAAGTCATCTGAATGAAATGAGATTACTGGGTCAGGTCTGCATATTTATATGGCAACAGAGCACAGAGGTCAGGAGTATAGGCCGTGGATATTCTGGAGCCTATCAATATCTAGTTTTGTATCATTGAATGAGTTATTTAATCCCCTGTGTCTCGTTCTCTTCAATGAAAATATGGGGAAATGGTACATCTCAAAGTTATTGTAAACACTAATAGAATGACGCATATAAAGCACATAGTACAGTCCACTCTCCAAAGTGACATTAAAGTATCAGAGTTCCAGTGACTCCGTAGCCTTGCCACCATTGGGTTTTTATTTATATTTTCAATAATTATGCTAATTTTGCATAAGAAAATGGTGATTTCTGGCTGGGTGTGTGGTTCATGCCTGTGATCCCAGCACTCTGGGAGGCTGAGGTGGGTGGATCACAAGGTCAGGAGTTTGAGACCAATCTGGCCAACATACTGAATCCCCATCTCTACTAAAAATACAAAAAATTATCTGGGTATGGTGGTGTGTGCCTGTAATCCCAGCTACTTGGGAAGCTGAGGCAGGAGAATCATGTGAACCCAGGAGGCAGAGGTTGCAGTGAGCCAAGAACAGGCCATTGCACTCCAGCCCAGGCGACAGTACAAGACTCTGTCTCAAAAAAAAAAAAAAAAAAGAAAGATGAAAGAAAGAAAGAAAGAAAGAAAGAAAGAAAGAAAGAAAGAAAGAAAGAAAAAAAGGAGGAAAATGGTGATTTCTTATTGCTTTAATGGTCTTATTTATTTTTTTCTTTGAGACAGACACTTGCTCTGTCAACCAGACTGGAGTGCAGTGGTGCGATCTCAGCTCATTGTAACCTCTGCCTCCAGGGTCCAAGCAATTCTTGCGTCTCAGCCTCCCAAGCAGCTGGGATTACAGGAAGGGGAGGATGCACGACCATGCTTGGCTGATGTTTGTATTTTTAGTAGAGATGGGGTTTCACCACGTTAGCCAGGCTGGTCTCGAACTCCTGGCCTCAACTGATCCACTTGCCTCAGCCTCCCAAAGTGCTGGGATTACAGGTGTGAGCCACCATGTCTGGCTTGTTTTAATGGTCTTAGATAACCTGTGTTTCTCACATTTGTTTACTAGTTATATAAACTCCTTTATGAACTGTCTTTTTATATTCTTTGACATTTTTTTGTGGGTGCTATTTTAGCTATTCAAATGTTTCTCATGGAAAAAACAAGACATTTTTAGCAGCTTTACCATCATTTCCTAGAAGTAAAAGTATAGCAACTATGTAACAAACTATAGTTTGAAATATCAGCTGAAAGCCCACAGCTAACATTAAACATAATGGTAGAAGACTGAAAGCTTTTCATCTAAGAACAGAAACAAGATAAGAATGCTCGTTTTTGACATTTTTATTCAACATAGTACTGGAAGTCCTAGCCAGTAACATTAGGCAAGAAAAAGAAATAAAAGACATTCAAATTAAAAAGGAAGAATAAAATGCTCTGTTTTCAGATGATACAATCTTATATGTAGAAAACCCTAAAGAATCCCCCCAAAAAACCTGTTAGAACTAATAAATAAATTCAGTAAAGTTGCAGGACACAAAATCAACACAAAAAATAAAATACATTTCTATATGCTAAAAATGAACAATCTGAAAATGAAATTAAGACAACAATTCCATTTACAAGAGCATCAAAAAGAATAAAATACTTAGGACATATTTAAGGAGACAAAAGAGTTTTACACATGTTGCTTACAGAAATAAAAGATAGCAATAAATGGAAATACATCTTATATTCATGAATTAGAAGGTTTAATATTGTTATTAAAGATGTAAATGCTACCCAAAGTGAGCTACAGATTCAATGCAATCCCTAACACAATTCCAACGGTATTTTTTGAAGGAAAAAAAAAGTCCATCCTAATATGGAATTACAAGTGACCTGGAATAGCCAAAAGCATCTTTTTTTTTTTTTGAGACAGAGTCTCGCTCTGTCGCCCAGGCTGGAGTGCAGTGGCCGGATCTCAGCTCACTGCAAGCTCCGCCTCCCGGGTTTACGCCATTCTCCTGCCTCACCCTCCCAAGTAGCTGGGACTACAGGCGCCCGCCACCTCGCCTGGCTAGTTTTTTGTATTTTTTGGTAGAGACGGGGTTTCACCGGGTTAGCCAGGATGGTCTCAATCCCCTGACCTCGTGATCCGCCCGACTCGGCCTCCCAAAGTGCTGGGATTACAGGCTTGAGCCACCGCGCCCGGCCACCAAAAGCGTCTTGAAAAAAAGGAACAAAATTGCGGTCTCACACTTCCTGATTTCAAAACATCACAAAGCTACAGCAATCAAAACAACGTTGAATTAGCATAAAGATATATTTATAAAACAATGGAAAAAAATAGGCCAGAAATAAAGCCTCACATATATGGTCAAGGGGCCAAAGTACCACCCTTTTGACAAGGATGCCAAGGCCATTCAGTGGGGAAAAGACAGCTTCGATAAATGGAACTGGGAAATTGGGTATCCACATGCAAAAAGAATGAAGTCAGACACTTATCTTACACAATATACAAAAATTAACTCAAAATGGATCAAAGACCTAAATGTAAGGGCTAGAATTATAAAACACTCTAAAAAAGATAGGTGAAAGCTTCATGACATTAGGCAATGATTTCTTGGAAAATGACACCAAAAGCACAGGCAACAACAAAAAACAAGGTGAACTACATCAAAATTTTAAAAACTTCTGTGTCTCAAAGGACAAAATCAACAGTGTAAAAAGGTAACCAAGTGACTGGGAAAAATATTTATAAATCATATAACTGATAAGGGGTTAATACTCAGAATATATAAACAACTCCTGTAACTCAACAATAAAACAAATAACCTCTTTTAAAAAAATGGGTGAAGGACTTGAATAGACATTTCTCCAAGGAAGATAATTAGGGAAACACAAATAAAATACATAAAGAAATATCACTTTACACCCATTAGGGTGGCTACTATCAAAAAAAACCCCAGAAAGCAGCCTGGCCCTCAATGGCTCTGGAGGAAAGGTGAGTGAACTATTAAGGAGCAACTTGCTCTTACCAATGGCCTCTGGAACCCGGACAGAAGGAGAACCCTCAACTACCACAGATACTTGAGTTGGCAGGGAGAGCTGCTTAGAGAAGTGGTAGGGGTAGCAAACCAGCTGATGTGGAGCCCAGGGGTGTTGGTGTGGGAGTGTCTGCAGTGGTGCACAGCCAGGGATGGCCATCCCCTTAGGCTTGACTTGCTCCCATGGGAGACTTCAGCCCTAGGGGAACTGTTGGTCTTGAACTCTACAGGACGGTCTTGCTCATCAGATGGGGCTGGTCTATCCTGAGCACTCCTTGATCAGCTGGCCTCTCCTGGGGCCCAAGTCTGGCCATACCTGCTTGCAGGGCAGCCTCAGGTGACCTGCAGGCCCCACATCATAGTTTCTACACAGACCATGCTTGACGGTGGGGAGAGCTCCACTGCAGCGACCCTATGCCACGCACCAGCCCGCATGCCCCCTCCCCATACTGCAGGTTCCCCAGGACCCATGGCAACTCTCCACAATGCTTTACTGGCTTGTGTCTGCACTGGCAGGTTTTGCTTTCCTTTTTCCATTAGAAAGTGAGCTAGCATGTAGGAGTGCAGCCTGCCCTCTGCTCCCACCACCACTGCAGATAGAGCCTTGGTGGGCACAGAGCCAGCCAGCCCTGCCCCTGCCAGTGCCCCACCCTTGCCCTAACACTGTGCAGAGAATAGCAGATCCTCCCCTATCCTCAGTGACCACTTCTGCTTGCAGGACACAGAGAAAGCACCCAGACCTTCAGTGTCCCAACCCTGAGCCATCACCACCTCTACTGTGACTGTGCAAAAGTTGCCGGTAGGGGCCCCAGCTCTGCCCAGCTGTGCTGCCTCTGCCACCTTGGTCAACACGTGCAGGGAGGCAGGTACCCCGGCACCAGCACCTGCTAGCACTCTGCCACAGGTGACTGTGCCACAGCTGCTGTACCCACTACTGCTGGCACATGTGAAAGGGGATAGATCCAGCTGTCACAACACTATGAAATACTTTGGCTTACACCACCCAGCCAAAGTGAAATGGCCAGCAGTCTGGGAGCATCTCAGCCTACCCAGTACAGTGGATTCCTAACCTTGAGGAGCCAGAGAACAAAGTTGGGGCCCAATACAAGTCTCCAAGTTGTGTTAGAGTGCACAGTCCAGGAGTTAGGAGTTGAGCACTGACCCCTAAAATGTTCCAGAAATGAATCCAGCTGGCTGAATCCACCTTACACCACAATCAAACACTCAAGGTCATCAAATAGGATAAAAGGAAAAAAAAA